TCATGCTCACTTCACGGATAAGGCACTGAGGTTCAGCCTTTCCAGGGTGACACAGCTAGTAAGCCTCAAAGCTGGGAACCCAGTCTTTGAGAACTTGTTTGGGGGTTATAGCAGGGGAGTGCAGCTGCTCGTGTACCCTTGACCAAGAACTGTCCTCCTCTATCGGGGAAGGCTGTGCTCTTTGACCGAGTGCGCAGCTTCGGGAGGGATGCGCATGGAGTGGTGAGGGAGGAAGGGGACACCTGCCTGGCCAGCAGATCAGCCGAATCAACTGTGATGATCAATGGGGTGTCAGCTGTTGCAGCCAGATTGCCCTCACATCCGGGAACCCAGTCTTTGACTCTGGGTTTGTTTTTGTTGTTGTTGCAAAAACTCGTATTCTGGCTCCTCCTGTATCTCTTTTGGACAAAAACTCTTATATATCCTGACTCCTCCCTTCCACAACACCACACTGTCTGGGAAACTTCTTTACATTAAGCTTTGTCCTTTCTGGATGTTGGTGGAACCATTTAAGTCAGTCCAGTAAAAACACGTAGAGACTTGATGTCTCTGGAACTGCCTTCTACTGCTGCCTCTTTTTGTCTAAGGTTTAAAATCATATCTTGTTACTTCCCTTCTGCCTTTGATAAGATGAGCTTTGTGATCTGGAGCACCAGCTACAGATGACTAAGCTTCTAGCAACTCGGGCTTGACCTGAGGAGTGTGGGCAGAGAGATCTCTTGCAGGGAGCCCAGAGTGGGCTGGGTGGACCCAGCTCATGAACCGGGGCTGCTGGCATGCCTACATGGCAGAGAGGACCCCGAGATGCCCTTTTCCCATGAGTAGGCATTGCCCCCTGGAGTAGAGGGCAGGGGTTGTTTTGCTCCAGCAGGAACAACTGCCTTCCACCACAAAGGTCTCTGTGTGGATTGTCGCTCTTCCAGATGAGGGTTTGGTGGATCCCAGCTCTCCTTTTAGAGGCAAGTAACCTCTTCTTTTTTTTTAATTTCTAGGTTTGTGGATACCCCCTGGCCTGGTTTCATGGAGAAATCTCTGATTACTAATCTGAATCCCAGAGCAGCCCCCATCTTTCAGTGGACAGAACGAGAGGCCTTCTGTAACCAGACGTAACTGGCCATCATGGGGAAATTGATAAGGATGGGGGTGCAGGAGAGGCGGCTGCTCTGGCCGAAGCGGCTTCACTGGAGTCGCCTCCTCTTCTTATTAGGAACGTTGATCATCGTTTCCACCTACCAGCACTTGAGGAGCCCCCGGGGCCTCCCCTCACTGTGGGCAGCAGTCTCTTCCAAACACCCTATAAAACTAGCCAGCCGGGACCTCCCCAGCAATGAGATGATGATGGTGAGCAGTGACCCTCCAAAATCTAGCTTTGAAATAGAGGGTGAGACACAGACACCCCAAGCCACAGTGGGCAGAGATGGAACTACACCTGGCATGACAATGGAGCACACCCCCAGGACACCCAGAAGGACAACCCAGCATCACTCCAACAATACCCAAGAACAACTACAGCCCAGCAACAACAAACGCAGGAGTGAAGGAAAACACCCCAGCCACGCCCGGTGGAGTACTGAGTCACTACAGCCCAACTGCAAGCAGACCAGTAGTAAAGAGTCACAGCCCAGCGACACCCAGGGGAGAAGTGAAGCGCTACCGCCCAACTCGAGCGAGGAGAAAGGTGAAGAAACACACCCCATCCCCACCCGGTAGAGTGGTCAGCAGTTATGCCCCACCCACACTCGTGACAATGACAAGGAGCCATGGGACCACCCCCAGAACAACAGTGAAAGACAAAGAAATTATGGCAACCCATAAAATACTGGAGACCAACCCCTCCAAGAGAACAGTGGAGGAAACCACCCCAACTCCTCTTAAGGGAATAACTGATAACACTCCGACTTTCCTGATAAATGACATCGAAACAGACACCTTGACTTCTCCAAGGAGTGTGGTGGAGAAGAACACCCAAACTACTTCCAGAAGAGTGGATGACAATAACCCAACAAGCCACCAGGGATCAGTGGGAAAGAACAACCTGACATCTCCCCAGGGAGGGGTCCTGGAGCACACCGCAGCCCTCTCTGAGGGGCAAGTGACAATAAGCTCCATGACAGGCAGCAGCCCAGCCAAAACCAAAGCCTCTACTGCTGCCTGGAAGGTTAGGAACCCCTCGTCCAGAACCAGCACACCAACCATGGGAGTATCCTCAGCCACCTTCTGGGGGCTGGTGAAAGATCCTTCCACAGCACCCAGCACCCCAGCAACTCCTAGGATCAGGGCATCTCCGACCACTCAGGTCCGTCACTGTGTGGTTGTGGGGCCAGCCCCAGCTGCGCCTACTGCCCCCTCCCCCCGTCTGACAATGGCTGTGATCCCAGAGGTGGATCCCAACCCCAGTCCCTCAGTGCTGCCTCCTAGCCAGCCAGACCTCCACCCCAAGGCAGAGTACCCCCAAGACCTGTTCAGCGTGGAGGAGCGGAGGCAGGGCTGGGTGGTCCTGCACATCTTTGGTATGATGTATGTGTTTATAGCCTTGGCCATCGTGTGTGATGAGTACTTTGTTCCAGCCCTAGGCGTCATCACAGACAAGCTGCAGATCTCTGAGGATGTGGCAGGTGCCACATTCATGGCTGCTGGAGGCTCTGCCCCTGAGCTCTTCACCTCCCTCATTGGCATCTTCATCTCTCATAGCAACGTGGGCATCGGCACCATAGTAGGCTCTGCTGTGTTCAACATCCTCTTTGTTATTGGCACTTGTGCCCTCTTCTCACGGGAGATCCTCAATCTTACCTGGTGGCCCTTGTTCCGTGACATCTCCTTCTACATCTGTGACCTAATGATGCTCATCCTCTTCTTCCTGGATAGCCTCATTGCCTGGTGGGAGAGCCTGCTGCTGCTGCTGGCCTATGCCCTCTATGTGCTCACCATGAAGTGGAACAAACAGCTTGAGCTCTGGGTGAAGGAGCAACTCAACAAGAGGCCAGTGGCCAAGGTCATGGCCCTAGGGGACCTCAGCAAGGTAAGAACAGGCTGGCTCAGGCTTCTCTAGCCCCTTATGGGCAAAAAGATAGGGAAAGCCAGGGACTAAAGAATGGAAAGCTCTGGGTTAGACTTCAAGAGATGAGAGTCCTGATTCCTTTGCTATTCATTCAATATTTATAGAGTCCTGTTCTCTGCCAGGCACTATGCTGGGGCTTTTGCGGGAGTGACCTTGGCTTAATTCCCGATCATTCTATGAAATGGTTATTATTATGTTACCCCATGGCAAGCGAAGAAACTGAGGCCCAATGAAGTTAAACCACTTGTTCAAGGTTACACAACAAATAGGCAGCGGAGCTAGGGTGAACCCGGGTTGGTCTGATTGGGTCTTTGGGAATGACATTTGAGCTGGGCTTTGGAGACTGTCCAAGGAGATATCAAGCAGGGAAAAATGATAATCTCTTCCATGTGCATGGTGCTTAGGGTTTATCTAGCACCCTTACTTTCATTTGATCGTGTTTGTTCACATTCCAGAGGGGCTGGTGGCTTGGATGGGGTCTGAGAAAGGGGAGGCTTTCTGAGTTTCATTTTGTTTTTAAAATATTGGAGATATGGCAGCTCCACTCATCCACTAACAAGCCAGCCCTGGGTGCAGAGCCCTGTCTACAGGGCTGACTACAGACCAGAGACTGGGAACTACAACCCTAGGGGTTTCTTCCGTCTCCAATGTTCCTTTCCAAGAATTTCTCTGCCCCTGTGAGGGAACTTCCTGCTAAATTCATTGCATGATTTAATAATCTGGACAATGAAATTAAATTGGGGAAGTGATCTCTAAAAATTCATCCCCAAGTTTTTTGTTCCTTGAGACTCCAAAGTGAGGGTACCCTAGAGGAAGACAGTCCCCATTCCTCTCCTGCTCCTAAAAGGT